GATGAAAAGATCCAGATTATAACATTAAAAGAACTTCTCTCTTGAAATGTAATGAAAAGTCAACAGTCGCTCCATCATTCATACAGTATACAATATATACAGTACACAGTGTACAGTATACAATATATACAGTACACAGTGTACAGTGAAGAATACTTTTTAGGATTTTTTTTTAGGATAAAGTGTGTACCCTAGGGCCATTATCCCCCGGAAATCAAAGATGTAAAATTAACCAGAACAACCTAGAGTAGAGATTGTAGCTTAATGCAGTTAAATGCAGTTTAAATTGATGCAGTTCTAAAACTAGTTTTATTGGAGTGAAATAACATTTCTAGCAATCAATAGTCAATACCTTACACAGAGGTTATCATTGTAGGATGGAACACTTAGCAGAATTGGAACAATAAGTAAGATTGAAGACTAATTAAGATGGAACACTAAGTAAGATGGAACACTAAGTAAGATGAAACACTTTGTATGATGGAACACTTAGTATGATGAAACACTATGCAAGATGGAACACTAAGTAAGATGGAACACTAATTAAGATGGAACACTAAGTAAGATAGAATTTTAGGTAAGATGGAACACTAAGTAAGATGGAACTATAAGTAAGATTGAACACTAATTAAGATGGAACACTAATGAAGATGGAACACTAAGTAAGATTGAACACTAAGTAAGTCTAGATGAATCAAAACAGCGTCAATTAAAAGGAAACCTCATCCTCTCCTGTCAAAAACCAAAACCTGGCAGTCCATCCATCATCAAAAGTGATGAACAGCTGGGTAGCAGCTCCATTTCTGTTCATTGCATAGAGCTAGTAAAACAGAAATACAAAGTAGAGATACCTGAAGGCGATATTCAAGCCTGTCATAGGCTCCCAAATGGATCGGTATTGCTTAAGATATGGTAAAGAGGCCCAACTTCAGCCTGGAATCAAGACTGGAGGAAACAAGGAATTCAAGCTGTTCATAAACTTCCAGATGACGACAAGAAGAAGTTCCTTAATGTATGAAATAAGACAGCTAAAGAAACAAGGAAACCTTTTCAAGCATGGGTCTGACGAGAACGGGAGCATCTGGATTCAAGCTAAAGAGAGTGATCACAAAAAGAGAGTGACCCAACATTACAGGCAAGGGGAAATCTATCCCACAGTGACTAAAGATGAGCTCATGAAATTACTTGAACATAAACAATAATACTTATTTCTTTGTCCTAATCCAAACATTTAGTTTATCTCATAGAATAGTTTTAACCTTCCAAATTCTGCTTCAAAATGCCGAACAATTACCTTAAAACACTACTTTAATAATGCCATTTCAACAAAGTTTTTTTACATACAAAAAAATCAGCACCCTGTATATTCTTTTCTTATTCTTTATTTGTGACTTAAATATGTTAGTTTACACTTCCCTCTCCCCGAACCAAATAATCTATAACTTCCCAGCCTTCCTGCCTAATTACGTTTTCTCCCACCTCCCCTCCTCCCCATCCCCCTCCTCAACACCAAAATGTCCTAAATTTGATAAGAAATACTACGTTGTAAGCTTTGTACGTCTCTGTGTCAGTTTGTTTGGATGTACTAAAATAAATCAGAAACCCTTTGACCGATTTGCCTCTTTTTTTTTAGGAAACACTGTAGAATCAGGAGAAGTATCTAAGCTTTGTTCTGAGTTCCAAACCTAGTTTTATTTTATATTTTCACCAGCCTCGTTTTCTCTTAATGGTTTATTATGAAATGAAATCTAAAAAATTCGAATGAAAACCTCTTATTGCAAAGCAATTAATGCTTTCCAGAATTAGTCATTTGTTCATTATAAAACTGACAAGATGAAAACATACCAAAAAATACATTTCCAACTACGTAGGTAAAAGAAGAGTCAGACATAATTACTGGTACGAACCTTCTAAATTCTCTAGTTTTGATTTACGTTCAGATATAAATATTAGAAATTCAAAACTTTGTTTGTTCTTCTTAAAAGCTTGTAAAGAACAAAAATTATTATTTAAAACTTGTGATGTTTAAATATGTTTAAATTTAACATGAAACAAATTGAACCCTTGCCTCAAATTATGACTTACTAATTCCTATATCGTTTTGCAACCCAATGATATAAATCTTGAATATTTTAAAACATGAATTATGGTAGCTTAAATAGTTTAAGTTTTTAAAGTATTTAAACTTTACAACATCAGTTTGCAAAAATATTGGAAATAGAAAATTTGAGTTTGTGGCAAAGACTCATATCTTTATTATAATTTTGAGGTGCAATAATTGAATGCTCTGCAGCGACTTTTATTTCTGTTTATGTTTCATTTTTTGGTTAAGAACCTTTTTGTACCGAACAAGCGTGCTAGGCTAGGCAAGGCGCGCTTGGGTATAAAAGGGTTCTCAACTCTTTTATGCATCTGTCTGTTCTGTACTTTTACTCTGCAACATTAGAAATAGAAGTTGTTTAAAAAGGTACTTTATTATTTATTTTTTATACTCTAAAATATGTTTTTATTGAGAGAGAATAGTAGGGTTTAAAAAAGATCAGATTCAAAGTTTAGAGAAATGAAAAAACAGAGTCATTCTTGATATAAAGAAAAGAGTTTATTTGGAAAAATAAATAGAGTTAAATTTTAGTGGTTTGAACTGTTAAAGAGACCTTTGTAAAACGGGTTTAGTAAGAAAAGAGTTTATTCAGATCTGTACTGTATCTACACAGTCTTTTGGTTATCCNCATATCATATATTCTATTTTCCAAAATATGGTTTAAAATATAATTTTAGAAAATATTTTGATTGAGTATGCAAATATTTTTCAAATCACAGCTAGAAAATTTGCATTAAATTGATTTAAAATCAAATATATACTCTGTGCGAAGGAAAGGCTATTCCAGCTTGCGAAAATAACCCGGATTTTATCCTTGAACTTTAAATAAGAAAATGTAGATACAATCATTGTTACACATTTTGTTTTTTGGGGGGTTTAACTTTCAACTTTTTTTCATCTGAGTAATCCAAACTTAAATGATTTTTTTGCATGAGGTTTTTTAACTCCTTTATTTATCAGAAGCTAGTATTGTAAGATTGAAAACTCATTCAACAGGACAGTAAAGAGACGACATGAAGGTCGTCTTTGATATACAGTGGTTGTCGTAAATATCAATACAGTGAAGACGACTTTCTATTAAAATTTTTATCCCTACCCAGCTTTCAGAAACATTTAAATATTTAAACAAGAGAAGTTGTAAATTAACAGCTTCTGATTGTTTACTTGTAAACTTGTCATTTAAAAAATGCTTGTAAATGCTTGTTAGAGCTTAATAGCATTATTGATAAAAAGTTGCCCTTGTTTTATAAATACAATCACCGACCACTGTATATGATTCTTAATACAAGAATTAAAAAATATTATTTTTGTCCTGGCATTTCCGAAAAGTGGTCTGGCTTTTGTGTCCTTTTAAGATTACCAGAGATATAATGAATTTCGTTTAGATTTTAACCAATACCTGAATAAATCTTAATTTTAAAAGCAATAAAAAAGACCACATTTTGAGAACTGTCAAAACTTAGGTTTTTGTTCAGTTCACTGTAATCTTGCCAGAACTCTACCCTGTGTAGTCCAGACTGGACAGTACGACGGAATGCACACCTACAGTACATGTTGTACCGGCTCGGATAATGTTACGATTGGAGCAATGTGAGTTACTTTCACGTCACATATTTTAGTTAAAGGGACTGTAGACATATTTTAAAGATCGGCATGTCTGATTCACTCCGTGCGTCTGATCATGGGTGAATGCGAAAAATATCATTATTTTTCTAGCTGAAATTTGATTATTTTCCAAAGTGACTCGTAGATTTGCGGAGCAGAGACAATGTTAGAATTCAACACCTTTTTTAGGATATTTTCCTCATTATTAATCAGACTATGCATGTTAAAATGTACTGCATATCTCAACATGTCCCGTTACTCAAAAATAGGTTAGCTCTTTAAGGTAGTGTTCGCGAAAAATGAAAGGGGGTATAGGCTTACGTCGAAAAATTATCGACGGTGATCGCTAATAATCTTATTTCTTTCTGTTGTGTCTAACAGGAGAAAATTGTTAAAAAAAACTACTCATACGTAGCGTCCATACAAATTCAGAAAGTTGTAACATTCGACTCGGATCGTAGAAAAATAAATTTGATTCCAAACAAATCATTCAGATATTATAACCTATAGCCATCGATAATTTTTCAACGCATTCATACATAGTTGATATTCCATAATATTTTTTACTTGTTTCATATAAGATGTACTTCAAACGAAGATTTTTCTTGGAGTCTAATTCCATGTGGAACTCCAGAAGCATCGAGAGCAGAGATAACTAGCAGCCAAATAATCTTTCTTTAAACTTTAAAGTATGTTGTAAATGAAACGAGTAAAAAATATTATGAAATATAAACTATATACAAATGCACTGAAAAATTATTAATGATTACAGGTTACAATATCTGAATGATTTGTTTGGAATTAAATTGATTTTGTTGCAACTTTCTGAATTTGTGTGGAATGAGTCGTTTTAACAATTTTATCTTGATAAAGGCAACAGATAAAAGAAAGATTAGTATCGGCTCACCATCGATAATTTTTCGACGTAAGCCTATACCCCCTTTCATTTTCGCGAACACGCCCTTTAAGGTATTATAAACAATCATTTGGTTTCTTTCCTTCCGTTTAATTACTGCTTTCTTTTCTTTTTGTTCTGTAGACTGATAATTAATGTTTCTCTCTAGATTTATATTATCCCGGATATAATGGTATTTTGTGCAAAAATATATTAGGACAACTTATCTTTTACGACAGATCAGAGACACAACAATATACATACAAATATTATTCAAATTTAGTTTTTTAAATATCATTTAACTAGTACTCATGGCGGTTCATTTTTATAATCAAAATTTCTTAGACGTTTTACCATAGGTAGAACCATGGTTACGCTTTACCAGAGCAGTGTAGATAGATAGATACGACCTATAGTTGTACCTTTGGTAACATGAATAAGAAATTGGCATAGATTTTATAATTATTGAGAGGATTGTAAATGTGAAATATTTGCATTGTTTTGGTTATTTTTTTCACGCATTTCGTTTTTTTTTTAAATGTAATTATGGCTTTTTGACTATGACCACCAAGATGCAAAGATGGCAATGGTTAATAATGTGGAAGATATTGTCGTTTTTATAGGTTTCATTCTAATAATTCCTATATGTTTTAATACAGTAGAATTTTTTTGAAATTATAATATCGATATCTAATTCTTACTTGATCAGACAAAGCTTTCTAAGGTATCGTTGTGAATCGGGCATTGTCATATTAGAATAATTCTTACATTCCTTTTAATTCTGAAACAAAGGCTTGGATTAGAGTAATTCAGGGAAAATTAATCTTAAGACTAAAATAATGCATTGAAATATTCAACACAGCCAAGTTTCGAAATAATAAGGATTCAAATAACAGAAATCAACAGAATCAGGATTAAAGGTTTCCCAGATTTTACAGTTTGGAATTGTACTGGATTGTACTGGTGCACTTTCTACATGTAGGGTTTCCAATTGCAAGCCCTGGAATTCCGCGCAATTCCGCGCAACGGAATTTCGATTGGAAACCCTACTTTAAAAGACGTAGTCTTAAGAGATGGAATGGAATTAATAAAACTGTAAACTAATCTTTGTAAGCAATTGAAGAAAGATTTAGGGAAATAATGAATTTAAGTTTAAAGAAAAATTAATTCACTTCTAGTTCTCAATATAATATCTTAGTTTCAATAATCTTTCATCATTTCAAATCTCTCGTTAATGAATTGAAAGCTGCCGCCTTTACATTTCCTAATTTTTCAAATCAAATTTCTAAGATTACTTCATATATTTTTAATTTATTTTGATTAAGAAGATGCATTTTTTTTTCTTTTAATGTTTCATTTCCCAAAACTGATCAATTGTAATTTATTTTACGCGAAGGTCTCACCAAAGCAAAAATCAATGTATATTTGGTGATAAATAAGACTTCAAAAATATTTTATTTCAGGGATTTCCATAAAGGACGTGTCGTCAGAGACGACTGTATCGAATTTTATTTTTTTCTATCCTTTTCCCTCACAATTTTTTATTACTTCATTGCTTTTTTGAGTAATCTTGAATAATAATGCCGTTGCAGTGATTAGTGTTTTGTGATAGCAAAGACAACTTTTC